GTCGTTTGTGGAGTCTTCGGGGGCTTGGTGGCGTCTTCTCGAGGGGTGCCGCTTCGTTCTCGGTGTCGTGTAGTCGTACTTATACTGTTGCTGGTACTGGGCGTCGTTGTGCTGCTGTTGATCCTCGTCGTGGTGGGAGGTGTGGTGGTGCTGGTTGTGCTGGGGCTGGTGCCGTGGCTGCTGCTGTCCATGCCCTCCATGGTGTCGGCGGTACGAGGATCCAGATGCTGGTGTGCTTGACCTCCATGGCCACGGCTTGGCCCCCACTGGATGGCCGTGAGACTTCGTGTTGGTCGCCATCTCGCTGGTCTCGAAGTCTTGCAGCTCGTTCTGCTGGTTGCACTGGTGCTGCTGCGCGGAGTGGTGGCTGCTGAGGAGGTCGGCCGCCCTCACGACGCGCAGAAGGGCCCGCGCCGACGCCCGGCGCTCCCTCTGCCGCCTGTGCCAGGCGGGCTCGGGCGTCGGGCCCCTCCTGGGCGCGCCGAAGGCGCGCAGCAGCCGCCAAGGGCCAGGGCGCGGCAGCGGCGGCGGCGAATCGCCGATCCGCGGCGCGCTGAGCCCGGCCTCGCGATCGGCCTGCGAGGCGGGATCGATCGGGCGGCAGGCGCCGATCGACCCTGACCGATCGATCGGGTCGCAGGCCCAGATCGCCAGAGGCCAAATGGGCTTCTCCTCATCCTCCTCATCCTCCTCATCCTCCTCATCCTCCTCATCCTCTTCCTGCTCCTCATCCTCCTCCTCATCCTCGTCGTCCTGCTCCTCATCCTCCTCCTCATCCTGCTCCTCATCCTGCTCCTCCTCATCCTCCTCATCCGTCTTCCTCCTCATCCTCCTCATCCTGCTCCTCAGCAGATTGCTAGCCATGCTGGCGCCTAAAGCGTAAAGACGTTGCGGTCGCCCTGGAGTGTTCGCTGTTGTTGTTTGCTGGTGGTGTTTGGAAGCGCCACGTCCAGCTCTCGGACAGACCTCCGTCTGTGGGTTTGGCGCAAAGTGATTGAATCAACGCTATGGGGGAGACTTTTGATTACAGATCGTTGGTCCCTCCTGCCCGCCACCCCAAAAAACACCTGTCCGCAAAGCGGGCTGGGCGTTCCGCTTAACAATTTCATACTGACTCGGACCTCGTGTCCCCGAAGCCTGGCATTCGCAGCAACTTCTTCTTCACAGGACCTGGCAACAATAACAAACCAAACCTTGCCAACAGATCATGCTCCTGGACGCAGTGCTGCCGCTGTGGCCTCGACCAATCCCCATTACACATCAAGCGTGGTGGGCAGGCGGAGCCCGTGCAAACAGGAGAACACCGAGGATAACCCATGCGTCCGGAGAGAAGTGACGGCGGGCGGAGAGGGGCACACGGCACGGGAATCACACCGAAGGGCCAACTAGAAGGACAGCCAGCGGTTTAGGGACCTCGGCCCGATACGCATGTAGATGCCTGCAGCACGGCAGACCCGAGACAGCCAAGAGGCCATACCATGAGACAAACATCGCGGCAGGCACAACGTAGATACTCAGCACCCCGCAGCGGCTGAACAAAAAAAATGAAGGGCCGGCGGCGCCGTGGGCAGACCGCCGCGCGCGCAAGTGTTCCAATCCCCTCGCAGTCGCCGGCTTCTCGTGAAAGCAATGTGGGTGGGTCGCGGGGTGGGCCGCGGGGTGGGGCGCGGGGCGGGTCGCGGGCGGGCCGCGGGCAAAGAGGAGATCAGCAGCATCCCTGCTAAGACAACTCGCTATTTTCAGCTCGTGCGTCGCCCGGCATGTGTATCCCAAGCCCTCGATGCCCGCCCTCCTCCATCTCCTCCTCATCCTCCTCCTCCGCCTCCTAACCCTTCGTCGTCGCTCGTGCCCCCACTTGGGAGCACATCTACCTTGCCTGCCGCGCGCAGTTGGCGCAGCCCCAAACCGAGGGAAGGCGGGAGGGCAGGGGCGAGGGGGACAGGGAAGGATTGAGCGAAACAAGTATTAGCCAACGGTACAACCAGGCGGGCGGCTCGGGCCAGCGGTCCCTGACGGGCGTGTCGGGCGGGCGGGCCCAACAACGGCGGGGTCGAGCGGGCGGGCCGCTGAAGCAACGCGCCTGCATGCATCGCGAGGACGTTTTGAGCGGCTTCGCGACTCCCGAATAACCATGAGGAGATACAAAGTGAGAGCGTGATTCCTGTGTGTTGGGGGCGCGGCGGTTCAGTACATTGCGGAGGAACTCCAAGCGAGAGGGGGCCGCTCCTTGACACTTTGCGCACAAACAGGGATCTCGTAGGTCAAGCTTACCCCGGGACCCCACCCAAGGAAAGAGAGGATGGGGAAAACACTCAGGACCCACAAACAAAAGCTGGCAAACATTGGCGGGGGAAGTGGAGAGCAGCGGGAGACGCCCCGCCCGATGGCCGGGCGGCCGCACGGCCCGTGTCAAAGGTTCCTCATCATGATCCTTGTGAGTAGGACAGCGAAGAACAGCTTGAGGCCGCGGGAACGTTACGTCCGCAGGAGTTGTTCCATTGGTTGAAGGTCCGCTTCATGGAATGCGCGAGGAAGAAGAAGAAGAAGAAGAAGAATAAGAAGAAGAAGAAGAGTAGAGAAAAGGGTGAAATCAAAAGCGACGAGGACGATTACCCCAAACACAAGAATGGGCAAACACAGCATTACAAGGCGGACCCAGCCCTAGAAGGAAAGGCGACGAGAGACGAGAAACAATGAAATGACAGAGAGCCCAACGGGACAATTACGAATCCTACCAAGAAGAAAAGTCCAATGACGAAGCCGAGGAGCTAGGAAGTTAGAAATGTCCAGAACCAGCCTCGCAACAACAGGTTTCCCTAATGCAGAGTTATGTCGTTCGGCCTCCACGCTTTATCTTCTCAGAGGGCTTAGGGCCAGGAATGCCTGCCTCCAACTACGATTCGGATCCAGGACTCCGCAGATCGCACGCGGACGTACCCTGACGTATACGCTGGAGCTTCGATACTCAATCGGACGCTAATGCAAGCCACGTGCCAGCCGAGTCTATGACGCCAAGAGAAGTATTGCGAAGGGTCGCGCAGCAAAGTGCAGAACTATATTCATACAGTGCTGCTGAGTCTTACCATGAGTCGCACAAGCCAACGCGGCGCTGACCCCAGCAGAACTCTACGGCGCCGTGAAGACACCAGGTGATGCCACGGGCGCAGCGTGGTGCGAACGTCGGGGCGCGCCACTGTCGACTAAATTGCCACTGCGGCGGGTTCCCACGACGCAGTCACCTGAGCGTCGGGTTTCCCCAAAGCCTCGGAGACATACCTCGGCGAGCGCTCAGCGGGGGGGGGGAGCGACCTGCGCCAGGTCCCCCCATCGCAAGAATAAGCAGCCTCGAAAGGTGCGTAGCGTCGGGCTTCCCCCTCGCAGGCGCACGCACGCCTGCTCCCCCTCCCCCCCGCATTCCGCGCCGCCCCGTCGTCCCCCCCCCTCCAGAAGGCTGACGGCGCGGGAGGGCGGACGGTGATCTCGAAGGCGGCAGCTGTGGCCGCTGGAGAACGCACGCTGCCGCGAGCCTACTCGAGAGTCCGGGGCCCTGTGCCGTTAGACGCCGACCGCTCGCGACCACGAGCCGGTTTCGACGGCGGCGTCCTGCCTCTTTCGTCGATAGTAGGCTTGTTCGACCCTCGTGGGGACATGTCACCCCGCGCCGCCTGTTTCGGGATTGCTGAGTTCTTCTTGTCCCCGTCTGGGGGCTGAGGAGGACAATTCGGTGCTTCGTCATCAGAGCCAGAGCGGCCTCCTGCGGGCGAGCGGTCTGGGGAGTCACCCGTTTGTGCAGTTGTTGCGGCCTCGTTCCCGATGTTGCCTACGTGTGCAGAAGCGCACTGATCCCCATGCTTGCATCGCCCGTCCTTGCTACGCCCGCACACAGGTTGTTGTTTCTCCTCGCCGCGTTTTGCAGCACTTGCCTGTTGAGGCAAAGTCTTCGCAGAACTTCCTGGCGCCCGATTTGCCAGCCAGTCCTGTAACATGTTTCTCGAAATGCTCTGGGTGATGCCGCGGGCAGCCCTCTGAATTGCACGCGCCTCTCTGGACCCATTCACTGCATACTCTCTTGTTTGCAGACGTGGCCGAGTGGCCCCTTTTATCCGCTGCCACCAGCTCCTTGCGTGCCGTTTGTAGGCGCTTTCTCTTAACTTGCTTGGTACGCTTGTCATAAAGCCATTCGTAGCTTTTATTTGGCTCGCCACTGCCATCCTGTAATGCAGTCCCGTGTCATTCTCGAGGCCACGCTGGTGTTATATATGTGTTCTGAACAGAATTCAAGGATAGACGACGCAGGTAATTAAGATCTTCATCCCCATGAGGGTGTGCTCCCAATCGTCCTTCATTTTCACAACACTGGTGTGGGCCAAACCAAACAGCAGCAGGCTGCTTCCACCAGCCTGTACCAGTCCAAGGATCATATGACGGACCTGTCTGCTTTTGACAAGCAGGTCGTGGGTCTTAGCCTCTTCCCTCCGTACGTTGACTCTCTCCCAAAGGTCACCAAATCTGAAGATGCTGCTGCATGCTGCGGCGAGAAGACGTCGACCAAGAAGGAAGTGCAACATCCGACCTTCATTACAGAACCGCGGGATGCGGCAGCATTGGACAGTGAGCGGTGCCAGTTCGTGCAGCTGCTGGAGCAATGCAAGGACGCGAACAAGCAGCGCCTGCTGGTCCAGATGCTCGGGAAGTTCGTCCTTGAGTTCATTGACGAGGCCTCAGAGGCCGTGCGCGGGGGCCAGAAGGGAGGAATTCCACCATAATGCCTCCTCCTCCTCCTCCTCCTCCTTCTCCTCCTCCCCTTCCTCCTCCTCCTCCGCCTTCCCCTCCTCCTCCTCCTCCTCCTCCTCCTCCTCCTCCTCCTCCTCCTCCTCCTCCTCCTTCTCCTCCCCGTCCTCCTCCGCCTTCCCCTCCTCCTCGCCCGCCTGCCGTGCTCCAGCGCTCCGAGGAAGCACTGGCGGGCGGGGCCCCCGCGGGGGGCCCGGGACTGGCGGCGCCTGGGCGCGGCCCGGGCCACGCACGAAGTTGCTGCCGCAGACCGCAAGCTGCAGCGGGAACCTGTCGCCCCCGCGCCCGCAGGGGGGGGGAGAGAAGGCAAACGGTCGAGGAGAGGGAGCGGCGAGGGGGAGGGGAGGGAGGGGCGAAGGGGGGGGGGGGAAGGGCCGGGAGGGAGGGGAGGTCGAGGGGGAGAAGGACGGGCGAGGGGAAGGGCAGGAAGGGAGGGGGGGCAGGGAGGGGCGAGGGGGAGGGCAGGGAGGCAGGGACACGTGCACTGCCTGTGAGCGATCTTGCTGCCGACGCCGGGCCCCTCGGCGCGCTGGACGGCGCCGGCGGGCAGACCGGCGCTGCCGACCGCCCGCACGTCACGTCACAGCATGCACCAGAGGTTCCCTAAAGGCGGGCGCCGGCCCGCCGCCCGCGGGCAGGAGCAGGAACGGGAAGAGGGAGAGAGGGCAGGACGAGAAGGGAAGGGAAGAGAGGGGAGGAGGACAGGACAGGTGCGCTCGCGCCCTGTTCTCTGGCCGCGGGCGCGTGCCACAGCCGGTCTGGGCTCCAAACAAACAGCTCGCTTCATTCGCAATCGGGAACTGGGACCTGCGTTCATGGGATGATGCTAGGGAGGAAGAGGAGGAAGAGAAGGCGGCGGCGGCAGCGAAGCGGTATTGGACCGAGTGTCTCCAGCCAGTGAGACAACAAAGCGAAATGCGCAGAGCAAGATTCGGCTATGTGTAGTCTACCGTGCGCGAGATAGCGAATGACGGAATGCCCCCTCCAGGGGGTGGGAGCCCCGAAATGTCCTCGCTCGACCACGGCTCACAGCGAGCAGCCCCCAGACGAAAGTTGAGACCAGGACGGACCAACCCAGGGCCCCAGCCCAGGGAAAAAAAGGCCTAGAGACCCAAAAACGACAAGCGTACGCCACAGGAGATTTCAAGCTCGGAGCGGAGGATCGAGGACAAGAAAGGGGAGGACTCCAACGAGGACGACGAAGATGGCAATCTGCGGTGACGAGCTGGCCCTCTGCGGAGCAACCCTCGGCGTCTGCGATGTGTGGCTGGCACTCGTCGTTGCAGTCGCCGCCACCTTCAAAACTCAGCCTGGCGAAGGACCCAACCATAAGCAGTTGTGCGTTCCGCAATTACGAATATCGTCTTCGTTGGCGCTCCCATATTGGGCCACAAACCCTGTGAGCGGTGTGCCGAAATGGGGACGACAGACGCATGTGGACGGTGGCACTGGGGCCTTCGGTGGAGCTTCCTATTTCTTATGGGGCCACGAAGCGTGCGAGCAGGTTTCCGAAATGGGTATGGGGACGCATGCGGGCGGTGGCACTGGAGCCATCGTTTGAGCTCCCATGGGGTCACGAAACGTGTCAGGGGTGTCCCGAAATGGGTGTGGGGGACGCAGAGGGACGGTGGCACTGGGGCCTGCGCTGGAGCTCCCTATGGGGCAGCCAAACGTGCGAGGGGTGTCCCGAAATGGGTGTTGGGGGGGGCGCAAGTGGACGGTGGCACTGGGGCCTTCGGTGGAGCTCCCTATGGGGCCACCAAACGTGCGAGGAGTGTCCCAAATGGGAGCGGGGGGCGCATGTGGACGATGGAACTGGGGCCTTCGGTGGAGCTCCCTATGGAGCCACGAACACTGTGAGCGGTGTGCCGAAATGGGTGCGGGGGGCGCATCTGGACTGGCACTGGGGCCTTCGGTGGAGCTCCCTATGGGGCACTGGACCCTGTGAGGGTGTGCCGAAATGGGTGTGGGGGACGCAGGTGGCCACCAAACGTGTGAGGGGTGTCCCAAAATGGGTGCGGGGGACGCAAGTGGACGGTGGCACTGAGGCCTTCGGTGTAGCTCCCTGTGGGGCCACGTATCGTGTGAGGGGTGTGCCGACGTTTGTGCAGTGGATGCATGTGCAAGGTGGCACTGGGGCCTGCGGTGGAGCTCTCTATGGGGCCACGCAACGTTTGAAGGGTGTGGCGATATGAGCGTGGGGGGCGCAAGTGGACGGAGGCACTGGGGCCTTCGGTGGAGCTCCCTATGGTGCCACGAAACGTATGAAGGGTGTGCCGAAATGGGTGTGGGGGACGCAGAGGGACGGTGGCACTGGGGCCTGTGGTGGGGCTTCCCATGGGGCCACCAAACGTGCGAGGGGTGTCCCGAAACCTGTGTGGGGGGCGCGAGTGGACGGTGGCACTGGGGCCTTCGGTGGAGCCCGCCCGCGGCCGCTGCGGAGGCTGCTGCAGTTGTCGCGGAGGACCTGGACAACGACGAGTGGGCGGATTGCGTGGTGCGGCAGGCCGCGGTGCGGCCGAGGCGCGACGTCGTGCCCATGGAGATGGAGGCTGCCGGAGCTGGCGCGCTGCGGCGGCGGTGGCGGCGGTGACGGTCAACATCTCCGCCCAGGAGCGCGACCTGCTGGTGCGCTTCCTGGGCCTCCCCGCGTCCCCTCCTACCGTGGAGCTGCTGGAGGCGGTCCGGAGGCGGCAGCCCGGGCTGCCGCCGGAGGCTGCGTGATGCTGTTCGTCTTCGGCGTTCCTAGCCTGAGACGTTTCCTAACATCTGCGGCTCGCTGGAGCGGCTGTCGGTCCGTGAATGTTCGGCCCCCTGCTCCTCATCTTAGCAGGCGGGCGACTAATCCTCGCGCAGAGGTCTTGGATGGATCGTGGAGCTCCAAAACATTAGCCTGACGAGGGACCCAACCATACGCAGGTGTGAGTACGCAATTGTGATACACTTTTTCGGTGGGAGAACCGCATGCGGACTGCGCCACGGGGACCTTCGGTGGAGCTCCCTATGGGGCCACGAAACGCTGTACTTGGTGAGGGAGACGCATGCGGACTGCGCCACGGGGACATGCGGTGGGGCTCCATATGTGGCCACGAAACGCTGTACTTGGTGAGGGAAACGCATGCGGACTGCGCCACGGGGACCTTCGGTGGAGTTTCCTATGGGGCCACGACACGTGTGAGTGGTGTGCCGAAATGACTGGCGGGGACGCATGCGGACTGTGCCACTGGGACCTTCGGCGGAGCTCCTATGGGGCCACGAAACGTGTGAGCGGTGTGCCGAAATGAGTGGCGGGGACGCAACGCTGCACTGGGTGGGGGAGACGCATGCTGACTGCGCCACGGGGACCTTCGAAGGGGCTCCGTATGAGGCCACGAAACGCTGTCCTGGGTGCCGGAGACGCATGCGGACTGCACCACGGGGACGGAGCCCGTTTGGAGCCACGAAACGTTGAACTGGGTGGGGGAGACGCATGCGGACTGCGCCACGGGGACCTTCGGTGGGGCTCCATATGGAGCCACGAAACGCTGTACTGAGTGGGGGAGACGCATGCGGACTGCGCCACGGGGACCTTCGGCGGAGCCCCCATGGGGCCACGAAACGCTGTACTGGGTGGGGGAGACGCATGTGGTACACGCCACTGGGGCCTTAGGTGGACCTCCCTATGGGGCCACGAAGCGCTGTACTGGGTGGGGGAGACGCATGTGGTACACACCACTGGGGCCTTAGGTGGACCCCCCTATGGGGCCACGAAACGCTGCACTGGGTGGGGGAGACGCATGCGGACTGCGTCACGGGGACCTTCGATGGGGCTCCATATGGGGCCACGAAACGCTGTGCTGGGTGCGGACTGCACCACGGGGACCTTCGGCTGAGCCCCTTTGGGGCCACGAAACGCTGAACTGGGTGGGGGAGACGCTTGTGGTACACACCACTGGGGCCTTAGGTGGACCTTCCTATGGGGCCACGAGGCGCCGTGCTGTGTGTGGCGGACGCATGTGGTACACCCCACTGGGGGCGGGAGGGGGGGCACGGGAGGAGGAAGGGAGGAGGAGGAGACGCGAGGACCGTCTCTTCAAAACGAGGACCCAACAACACAGGTTGGATGGGAATAACTGCGCGGCGTTGCGAGAGCGAGAGAGAGAGGGAGGGAGAGAGAGAGAGAGAGAGAGAGAGAGGAGAAGGAGGCGGAGTAGGAGGAGGCGAGAGGAGAAGGATCAGGAGGGGGAGAGGAGGAGGAGCAGGAGGAGCAGGAGGAGGAGGAGAAGGAGGAGGAGGAGGAGGAGGAGGAGGAGGAGGAGGGAGGAGTCGAAGGAGGAGGAGGAGGAGCAAGAGGAGGAGGAGAAAGATGAGGGGGAGGGGGATGAGGAGGAGGTGAAGGAGGGGGACATCGAGGAGGAGGAGGAGGAGGAGCAGGAGGAAGAGGAGGAGGAGGAGGAGGAGGTGGCAGGGGGAAGGAGGAGGAGGAAGAGGAGGAGGGGGACCTCGAGGAGGAGGAAGAAGAGGAGGAGGATGAGGAGGAGTAGGGTGGGCGGTAGGTGGAGGAGGAGGAGGAGGAGGAGGAGGAGAAGGGGAGGAGGAGGACAAGGAGGAGCGAAGAGGAGGATGAGCCCCTCCTCCCCGAGCCCTCTTCTACCCTTGGGCCTCAAGAATGTGTGCCCATACTCCCCCTCCCGTCCTCGAAACGCCGGGGAACGACGTACCCGGGCGTGGGTGCGTCCCGCGGCCGCGCGCAACGGCACTCCGCCCCTGGGGCACAAGCGCGCGCGCGGCCGTGGGATGGGATCGCCGCGGGTGCTGCTGCTGCTGCTGCTGCTGCCGCGAGAGAGGGAGAGAGAGAGAGAGGGGGAGGGAGAGAGAGAGAGAGAGAGGGAGGGAGAACGAGAAAAAGAGAAAGAGAGAAACACAGAGAGAGAGAGCGAGAGAGAACGAGAGACAGAGAGAGAGAGAGAGAACACAAACAAGAGAAAGCGAACACGAGAGAGAGAGAGAGAGAAAGAGAGGCGGAGGAGGAGAAGGAGGAGGAGGAGGAGGGGGGAGGAGGAGGGCGAGCAGGCAGAGGAGAGGAAGAGGAGGGGAATACCAGGCTTGCCGTCGAGCCCCAGCCAAGAAAGGGCATTGATGCCACGATTGTCCTGACTGTCCTTCGCCTGTCTTTCTTCCGAACCCTATTTCGGTTCTAGCCTCCATTGCGACTGCCTTGCACGGAATCGCTAACAACAAACGGTGTGCTTGGCTTTGCTCCAGCAGCGGCAAGCTTGGCTCTGGGGCGTTCGTCAACCCAACATGGTCAGGCACGCTTCCCGCTGCTTTGATGTGGACCACCTGGGAGCTTCAAGCCGAGTCGGTCCCGCCTTTCTCTTACAAGCAGTCGACCTTCACGTCCTCCTCAGTCTGCAGTTTCGTGCCACGTTTGGGACGGCTTCTGATCAGCAGAATCTCTACCACATCGGATTGAAATCTAGGCTGGGGTCAGATGCAGGAAGTCGCAAAGCATCGTTGGCAACATCCGCCGATTCAGAGAGCACGTGATCGCGCTGTTCCATCCACCGCGGACCCTGGCAACCAAGTCAGATTACGAGAGTGCACGCTACAAGGTTCTGCGAAGCGGCAATGGGGCTGCATTGCATGTCTTGTCCTTCCCACTTGTTCCTCGTGACGTTGCCGTTGAGGCTGCGTCTATTTTTCACGCGCGTCCTCATGCCAACAATGCTGGGCCCATTAAGCCAGGTGGGTTTCTCAGTCCAGTTCGACGACGCCGCCCTCTCCACACTGGACATCGGCAACGGGCTGAAAGACGCGAGCGCCAGGGCAAGCAACACACCTTGGCACGCAGATCCTCCTCCTCCTCCGCCTCCTCCTCCGACTGAAAACCTCGGGTGGTAGATGCTGCGTCTCGGAAGGCGGCTGCAGAACTCGAGACACAGAAGTAACTTCCTATTGCCCGACAGCTGCTTCGGAAACCGCCCAGATTCCTGTGCGACAGAGAATGCTCGATCAGATGGCTCTGACGCGCGGCCCGATCCACATCTGCGACCCGTCATGCATTGCGTCTCTTATGACTTTGCTGCTGCTGCCGCTCAAGATGACTATGTTGATTGGTTCCTTGCGCGCCGCATGCCGAAGCACGGTGCTGACCATATGTGCATGTTGTGGGACGCACTGGCTATTCTACCCAACCCGCTCGACCGTGCCAAAGTCAAACATCGATGTCCCGCTGGCTGGCCGAGCATGGCCTGCCCGTGCCCCAAAGCTGATTACTTCGCATCCCTGATCCATCTTGGAGTTCTCCTGCGAGGTGTTGTGTACGAGTGGTATCACAGCAAGTTGGACGTATTTACTCACATTTGGCCCTCTTGGTGCTGAAGTGTACCCGCATTGTGGCGTTGTCTTCATCAACTTGTGAGCGTTCGCTCATGAATACGAAGGCGTGGTCCCAAGTTTTCGACGTTTCTGAGTTCGAGAATTTGACCTGTGAGAGGTTGCATAACGCTGCAATCGGGCTTGATCTCGTGCGACTGCCCTTTAATGCAAGGTGGCCAACGGTGATCCCGCACAGCACGCAGCTGAGCAAGATGATTTCAACAATGTCTCAATTGGTGAGTAGCTTCGCCTCGTGCGGGGTCCATGTAGATCCCGGTATTGCTCCCCCTTCGTTACCACTCCACCTCCTGCAACAAGCAGCAAATGATATTGAATTTCATCTGCGTCGAGCTCGGAAAACAACATGTTCATCACATATGAGGGCAATGATCCCATTACGATTTGGCTCTGTTTTCCGAGTGTGTATGCGTGCCAGGTGGTTTGCCCAGCTCTTCAGGGCGCCTCAGACGTGGGACTGCAACCGGTTACCTCTGGATTAGGTGGTTCAGATGTTCCGGAATGGTATCGACATTGTTCTCCCGAATTGCTTTCGGCCTAGATGATCTCCTGTGGCGCGCCACACTCTTTCGCGCATGTGCCCGACAGTGAAGAGAAAGTGTTGGACTGCATTGCCCAATCTACATCTCGATTCGCGTCTGCACGACAGATTCCACGCTTGCCAAGCACATGGCCATGCCTGTTTGCGGAATGCATGTTCTTCTGCGACGCTCGCCTCCAAGAGCACGTGGAGGCTGCTTGGGAAAGCGCTCTCGTTCTTGTGCCAGCCTATTCTCGACGGTGGACGGGCACTCCGTACTCTGGATTCGGCCCCGGGTGAACTTACAGGAGCGATCAAGCAACTTCGAACCCCACGCCCTCGGCCAGGAGGGCATCACAGCTGTGAGATTTGTGGGGCCCGCATGGTTGCACCCACGGCCGATGCCCCGCAGGCGTTCGAGGCGCTAGAAAGCGCTGCCATTGGGCAGGCCGTGTTATACGTTTCCGCCCAAGGACATGACACATTGCGACTGGTACGTTTTCCGTCTCCGAGTGCAAGCCGCATGTCGTAGAGTGCGGAGGCAACCTGGATGAGAAGTTCCGCGCGAGGCACGTTATCTTCTTATTCACTTTGGAGCGTATCATCAGACTTATCTGAAATTGAGGCTGTACAGGGTCTGCGACCGGATTTGGCAGCAAATGTCTGGTTGCGCGATAGGCGGGCCTCTTAGTAGTGCGAATCTCGAGTGTGTGCATGCGCCGGGACTCCTTACTCGATCAACAATACAAGGGCAGACACAGAAATGCTGCAGCACACCGCTACGCAGACGATACTTTCATGTGTTCCAAGCCTCGCTGTCGGAAGTGCGTCATACGTGCGCTCCAGTACAATTGCGTCAGCGCTGTCGTTTTTAACCCAGACGGTCCTTCCACACAATATGGCGAGTGCATCGTTCAACAGTACTGGGAATGTGATAGTATTTCGGATTGGCTTCTCTTTTACACAAAAATTCGCAATCAATGGGGACGTTACGATGACTAAGAAACGTTCGCTGGAACCGTTCACTGGCGCGTTCAGCAAGCATCCGATGGCGAAACATCGATCAGAATTCATTGGCCGAGTGAGGAGATGGCGGGTCGTGCAGGACAACAAAAGCAATGTGGTTGTATGGGTGTTGACGGACATGCTATTGCACAGATCTGAAGAATTTGGGCCACATCCGTGCATGACCCGTGGCTCCTCGAAGTGGCGTGGGTTTGTCTGGATCTGCTGCGGCAGACGTGTGAACACCTTGTCCTTGGTGTCGGTCGCCAGGTTCAGAGCCTCGCCCTTCCACTTCGGATGAGTGCTTGTGCAGCGCAGTGTGCTCAAGAGGGAGGCTTACATACCATGGGCAAATTTATGAGCTTAGATTTAGCATTGTCTGGAACTCGCTCACCGCCACCACTTACCGCAAGTGCCATTGCAATCGCAATGTCTGATTGCTTTCGCACGTATGGATGAAAGCATTCCGCCAAACGCTGTGGCAATGTGCATGTGGTGTTTGCTTACGTGACTTTGCGTTAGGTCGCAGAGCTGGTGGGGATTCCGCAAGATTCCTAGATTCCCCCACCCCTTTCTTGGCGGGTTTTTCTGTGACAGGGGAGTGTCAATAGCAGGCGTACCGTCGTACCCCAGCCAAGCTGAGGGATTGATGCCATGACTGTCCTGATTGTCTTTTGCCTGCCTTTCTTCCGAGGCCTTTTTCGGTTCCAGCCTCCGTTGTGACTTCCTTGCGCGGAACTGCTGGCAACAAGCAGCTTTAAAACGATCACTCCAGCTGTGTCGCAACGGATATACATTAGCGGCTCCATATCATCGATGTTTGCTCATCCTCTCTACCATTGATTGGTTGACTGGATTGGATTCGCGCTATTCTCGCTGGGGGAGGAGGAGGTGGAGGAGAAGGAGGGGAAGGAGGAAGAGGAGGAGGACAAGGATGAGGAGGAGGACGAAGAGGAGGAGGAACGCCCCCCCCCCCCCCAAAGAACTCGCAGCCCCTCTCGAGGCAGAGGCAGCGCGCGTTCGGCTCCGCGGGCGGCTGGCCCTGGGGCGGACGGCAGGCCGGGACGCCCGTCGGGGGGGGCGGGGGCGAGGGGGCAAGGAGGGCAGGAGGGCCCTCTGGTGGTTTGGCACGTTTCAAAAGTTCCAAACGGGGCCCTTCCCTCAGTGGAAATGAACCCCTGTAGTGGCCAATGAAAAGGGAGCTTGGAGGTACATAGGGTTTATTTCATCATCGTGAACGTGTATACACTGGCTTCTCCTCCACATCCTCCCCCTCCTTGAAGTCCTCCTCCTCCTCCTCCGTGCGTTCCTCCTCCTCCTCCTCCTCCTCCTCCTCGTCACTCCTCGTCCCTCCTCGTCTTCCTCCTCCTCCTCCTCCTCCTCCTCCTCCTCCCCCTCGTTCTCCTTGTCCTCCTCCTCCTGGGCCTATCCCCACCCCGGCGTTGTCCAAGAATGGGGTGGGGGCGGCGGGGCGGCGGCGGCGCCTGCAGGAGCAGGCGCATGGCGGGCACGTGGGCCTGGCGCACGGCCTGCGGGGGCGGCACGCCCTTCTCTCTGCCGCTCCCCCTCGCGCTCCTCGCTCCTCTTCGCTCCTCTTCGCTCCTCCTCCCACTCCTCCTCTTCCTCCTCCTCCTCCTCCTCGTCCTCATCCACCACCTCCTCGTCCTCCTTGCTTCTTCGCGCTCCTCCTCCACTCCTCGAGAACGGCCCAGACATCCGAGGATACCACGTCTTCAATCCGAGCGCTCTTTCCTGGATCCCGTTCTCCTCTGGGGACTATTATCCTCGGGCGCGGCCTTGCCGACCCCTTCCATGATGAGCACCTTCCGTGGCGTCCCCCGCGCCCTCCAAGCCTCCCTCTGGCCGCCTACGTACGTTCTGGGGGGGCGAGGGGGACGTCACGGAAAGGAATGGTTTGCTAGGGGTCGGTTGGGCTGCCCCTGATATCCAGCCCCGAAAACAACAAAGGTTGTTCTTTTAACGAAAACAACAGCCAGGAAAGGTAAATCGAGGCATCCGCTGCCCCTCAGCAGGGGTATCCCAGTCGCGCGAGTCCTGGGACCCTCACGAATGGGCCCAGGACGCAAAGCTGGCCCCGGGGAAGGGATCGGGACCTTCGGGCCGCGCACTCAAAGAATCAGCTCCACAAAAATCGATTCGGAAATTCGGAACGACCCATACATCCTCCGGGTAGATGTCTGGGTCTCCGGGGAGATGTCTGGGTCGGTCCTCGCGGACGAAGGGGAGGAGGAGGAGGAGGAGGAGGAGGAGGAGGAGGAGGAGGAGGAGAAGGAGGAGGAGGAGGATGGACGGAGGTAATTATGGGAATGAGCATAAGACGATCTATAGAGTTCTTCCAGATGGGGTCCGAGCAGACAGAGCCCAAGGATCGTCCCGCCTCCCTGACGCATCGCCGGTGCAGTGGCGATGCATCGGCGACGTCAGCGATACATCGGCGCCGTCGTGGAGAAAATCGGCCGCCACACCGAGACGCATCGCCGATGCATCGGCGATACGGCGCGATCCCGCGACCCTCTGCTCGGGCCCCACTGGGGAGGCCTGGACTCTGGAGGCGCGTGCAGCCACGGCGCCACCGATCCCTGCGGGAGCGCAATTGGCTTATAAGATCTGGGCCCAGGGCTGAGGAGGCCGCTACTCACGGCACGCACCACGCGGTGACGGAGAGAACCGAGGAGGAGGAGGAGGAGGAGGAGGAGGAGGAGGAGGAGGAGGAGGAGGAGGAGGAGGAGGTGGAGGAGGAGGAGGAGGAGAGGAGGAGGAGGAGGAGAGGAGGAGGAGGAGGAGGAGAGGAGGAGGAGGAGGAGGAGGAAGGGGGTGGCCATCAACCTGACGCAGCGGGAGCCCCTACCAGGCGGTAGGGCGCCCGCCGACGCTCGACACACGCCTGGAATCTGCAGGACCAGCAGGGGGATCCGCAGGGTCAGGGAGAGGCGGAGCAGCAGCAGCAGGAGAGCGAGCAGCTGGGGCGAGAGGCAGGGGCTTCCTCCGCTCCCCGTGCCCCTCGCCCTCGTGTCCGCCCTCCCGCGCTTGCTCCATCAGCATCACCATCATCATCATCATCATCATCATCATCATCATCAGCAGCAGCAGCAGCAGCATCATCGTCGTCGTCGTCGCCGCCGTCGTCATCGTCATCGTTCGTCATCGTCATCGTCATCGTCATCGTCATCATCATCATCATCATCATCATCATCATCATCATCATCATCATCGTCATCGTCATCGTCATCGTCATCATCAGCATCAGCATCAGCATCAGCATCATCATCATCATCAGCATCAGCATCAGCATCAGCATCAGCATCAGCATCATCATCATCATCATCATCATCATCATCATCATCATCATCATCATCATCATCATCATCATCATCATCATCACCCGCTTCGCACACCCAGTACAGCGCTTCGTGGCCCATAGGGAGCCCCCCCTCCCTCTCCACGTCCACCCCCGCGCCGCGCCCCACCCTCCCCTCGGGCCTCCGATGGAAAACCAGTTGTCGTGCCGGGAGGAAGAGGTCCAGGAAGATACAGGGCACGACTTTGGCAACACAGGAACGCAATCACGGGACGCGGTGACATGGATGATGCGATCACCTCTCCCAGCCCACTTCTCCCAACCCGATGACCGTATTGCTGAGCTTCGCCTTCTTTCGCCGCCTCTGGCCTCACGCTCAGGCCCACGGGCCCCGGAGGACCCTGGCCAGACACGGTGGTGGTGTGAGCAGGTGCGCTCTGCGCCCTGAGACCCCGCATCCAGGTATGCTCCTGCCGCAGCGATGGCGACCGCGCGCCGCGCTCGAAGCCTGAGCGGGGGCACTGCTGGGCGAAGTGCGCACAGTGCACCGCGCCCCAGGCACGCCCATGTCTGGCTTCTTGTACTCGAAGAAGCATCTCGCAGTGAGATGTCGAGGAGTGGGCGGAGAGGACTTAGTCCGAAGACGTTACAGGAACACGTCGTAAACAGCCCTTCCCTGAGCGCGGAGGCTTCCAGGAGGACGACGGTGAGGGCGACGGGGGCGGTCTGGAGGCCAGGATCGGGGAGAAGGGTCCAGGAGCATGACGGATACGAAGATGAGGGCAGAACGGTAAGGAGGGACATGACCAGAAGGAGAAGCCGAGCCTCTGAAGACGAAGGGCAAGAAGGAGGACAGAAATGAGGGGCCACGCTGCCCCTCGTCCACGTATGCACCTCCTAGTGGCCTTCGGCCCATCCTGCCAACATGCCTGGGTTGTTGGTGTGAAACCTCTTGGATGCCTGCTTAGGCAACCTCTTGGAGGAAGTTTTGAAGCCTCTTGGGGATCGTTTGGGGGCCTCCCTTGGGTCTCTTGGGGGGGTTCTTTGGGGGCCTGCAGGCGGTCTCCTGGGTCCTCTCGGGCTCGAGGCCTCGAAATTTGAGGACAGAGAGGAGGGGCCACCGTTCCCTTCGTCCACGTTTGCCCCTCCTGGTTTTCTTCTGCTCATCCTGCCACCGTGCCTGCGTTGTTGGTGTGAGACCTCTTGAATGCCTGTTCGGGTCGCGGGGGAAGCCTCTGGGCAGCCGTGGAAGCAGTTTTGAAGCCTCTTGGGGCGCCTTCCAAGGGGCCCAAGGACAGAAAATATGCAAAACAACATATGAATGTTGTTTTGCATATTTTCTGGATTCTCCTCTTCCCCCCAATCCCCATATTTTCCCACATTTTCTTTGGAATCGACGTTTATTTGTATCTGCGTGCTTTTTCCCATCCTGAGCCTTTCGGGGCCTCTTTTGGGCCTCTTGGGTCCTCTTGAGGAGTCCTAGGGAGCCTGCTGGCGGTCTTCGGGGTTTCTTGGGGCGGGGGCCTCGAAATGTCGGTTCGAGAATTCCCCCATGGGGTCCCTCTGATGAGCCCTCTTAAGACCGTCTTGGGCAATCCTGGGTGCCTCTTGGGTCGTCTTGGGGCCCTCGTGGGTCGTCCCGGGGCCCACTTGCGCCATATTGGGAGACTCTTGGTCTTGGCCCATCTTGAACGCTGTGCACATGAAAACAGCAAGTTTGCTAGAGATGCGCAATTAAAAAAAAAGGAATGGGACGATGCTTGCCCCTTCTGGCCCTCTTAGGGGCCCTCTTGGGGGTCCTCTTGGAGCCGTCTTGGGGCGTCTCGAGCGCCTCCTGGACCATCTTGACGACATCTGGGGCCGTGCTGAAGCCACGCTGGCTCGAGTGGGACCAATCTGGAACATGCCCAGGAGCTCCCTGGGCCAGGGAAGCTCCAGGGAGGACCCGGGGAGGCCCCGAGGGGTGCAGGGGGACTGGGCGGTGCATCAATGGCCCCTGGTGTGCTGTGGCCCAGGGCCCCTGGGCCGGGGCTCCGGTGTATGATAAGTAATGATCTGCTGCCTGCCGCTCTCCACCGAGCTATCGCCGGCGGACCCGCCGCCATCGTGCCTCCGCCGGGCTTCCGCCGAGGGCGAGGCGCGGTCAGGCTCCCCAGCGGGACGTCGTGCACGCATGGACGAGTGGAGCGCCAACGGCCGCTGCCTGAGGCTGGGCAGCCACGCGGGCTCCGACGTAGACGGGCGCCCTGGCGATGCGCCCCGCGGACGACGCCCGCCTCGCAGAGGGTCGAGCGCTCGGTGGGACATTCTGCAGCGCGTGGCCGGCGTATACTGCCAAAGTGCTGCAGCAAGGAACGCTGCATCAGGAACGAAGCCCCTCCTCGGCACCACATAGCCTGGGTGCACGAGGAGGGCTAGAGGAGCAACCACGGAGTGACCTGAGGAACGGCGAACCCCTTCCGAACCCAAAGCGGTGCTGACTTCAGCGTCTCGACTGTATCTCACCAGGCAGCGGCGGGATCAACCGGCAACAAGTCGAGGAACCAGATCGAATCGGAGTGCGCGTCGGATCGGGCCGCCTCGGCACGGTGCCGAGACCAGCGCGAGGACCGGCCGCGCCAGGGTGCGCAACAGCGCCATGCAGTCATCCGGCCGCATCGGACCGTCCAAATACCAGAGCCGTATCGGCTGTCGGGCTGGCCGGCACCGACATCGAAACGGACCGACCGCATCGATGCAGGCCCTGCACGGTGGCGCCCCGGCGCGCAGCTGCGCCGCACGGCCGCCCCGCCCTCCCCGTCGAGGCCCGCCCCCGCGGCGGGCAGGCACGAGGAGAGCGCCCTCGGCGGGAGAGCCTCGCTGCCTCCGCCGCCTGCGGACCGCCGCTGGGAAGGAGAGGCCCGGGCGCGCCCGGGGCCCCTCCGCTCCAGGTGCCGCCGCCCGTGGCAGCAGGGGCTCCCTGCTGGCATGTCGATGGAGGCATTCCTCTTGCAGGGAGCCCAGAACACGCCCGAGCGGGCATACGTTTGGCGCGCCCGCAACCAGCGTTAGTAGTTAGTGCCTGTCGTCTAACAGGGGACATGTCGACCCCTATCCCAGGCGTTGTGGGGGTCTTCGACCCTGGGATGTCCGATGAGGGAGCGACCATCCTCGATAGGCGTGCGTCCGAATAGCTCCCTGGGGGTATATGGTCCCGTGCTCCGGGCCCACGGCCCCCTCCCCCTCCCCCCCAGATGGTATGGTCCCAGGATTCCTCGGGCCCCCCCCCCCCCCAGATGGTATGGTCCCAGAGACGACGACGACGACGACGACGACGGCGGCGACGACGGCGACGACGCGACGACGACGACGACGACGACGACCACGACGACGACAACGACGGCTGCGGCGGCGACGACGCCGGCGGCGGCGGCGACGACGACGATGACGACGATGACGACGGCGACGACGACGATGACGACGACGACGACGACGAGGACGACGAGGACGACGACGACGACGACTCTGAACCACCACAGCACCACACCACATCCACAGGGGGGGGGGGCACCGCAGCGCAGCACCACGCCACGCCCACCTCTGAACCACCACAGCACCACACCACATCCACAGGGGGAGGGGGGCACCGCAGCGCAGCACCACGCCACGCCCACAGGGGGGGGGGCGGGGGGGATCGCGCGGGCCAATTGGCATTGGGGGGGAGGGGGCCCAAGCCCTGGACCATATATCCAAGGGCTTCCCAGGGCTTTCGTCGAAAAGCCTGGGGCTGCGGCTGGGGGAGACAAATCGCCTGCGATTCTCCTCGGCCTGCGGCGCCGCCAAGCAGCCACAGCGCGGCCCTCCGAGGAGCTCCGCCGGCCAGGGGCTGCCTCCCAATGGCTACGGCAGGGCCGCGAGCGCCGCGCGGAGCGGGGCCGCCGCCCAGGCAGCTGTGCGCCTCGGCGCACGGCCGCGGGCGGCGCCAGCGACCCGTGAGCAGGCGGCCCCCGCGCCCTGCGCCGAATCCGCCGCCCAGCCCGCGTGCTGGGCTGGCCCTCTTGGCCCAGCAGCGCGCCGCGGCGCTGCGGCCTCGAAGTGCGCAGTCGACGCGACGCTGGCTGCGCCAGCGGCGCCAGCGACTGGAGAGCAGGCCGCCCGCGCGCCCTGCGCCTGATGAGCCGCCCGGCCCGCGTGCCAGGCGCTGGCCCGCTGGGCCCAGGTGTGGCAGCGCGCGCTCGCCTCGCAGTGCCCTGCGGTGAGCACGGCGTGGCCTGCGGCTTTCCTCGGCGCCCTCGTTCGCCTCCGCTCCGTTTCCTTATGACTCAGACTCCTCCCTGTCGCACCCCGAGGCCAGTCCGAAGGGCGGGCCGGGCGTTACGCCCGAGACTACCTTACCATGGAGGAGCCTGAGGCTTACACACTGGCAGCAGCTTCGCAAACGGAAGGCGGGTCGCTTCCAAAATGTGGCTCTCGGTTTAGCGCCGCGAACATTCGCTTCAAAGAATGTTGTAGGAGATTCACGGATTGAACACAGGTGTTTTTCAAAAGGTGGCTCTCGCCTCAGCGCCACGCACATTCGCTTTAAATAGTGCAAGAGCTTCACGGATTGAGGACGGCTCAGTTTCAAAATACGGCTCTCGTTTTAGCGCCGCGCACAATCTTCAAACACACTACAAGTGTCTTACGGATTGAGGGCAGTCTCTCTTCAAAATGTGGCTCTCGCCTCAGCGCCGCGCACATTCGTTTCGAAAGGTTGCAAGAGTTTTACGGGTGCTCACGGTTCACAAACCAGAAATGATGTTTGGAGCAGTTCAGGGCTGTCAGGGCGCAGCAGTTCCGTGGATTCGCGGTGCTGAATGCCCAGGATTGGTGTTCTGGCACGATCCACGATCATCACGACGCCACAGTCAGATTGACTCGTGGCGTTGAAGTCCTCAGAACGGTGTTCTGGCACGCTTCAATATTCTTACACGGTTGTACCCCAACGGGGCTCTTACCCCAGTGAAAATGAAGCCATGCATGGGGCCAATGAAGAGGGAGCTTTGAGGAAAGGTGTATTCCAACACTGTTAGTGAATCTTGGGCTTGCACTGGTCCTCCTCCTCCTCCTCCTCCTCCTCCGTGTCTTCCTCCTCGCACTCCTCGCCTTCCTCCACCTCGGCCTCTTCCGATTTCGGCAACTCTTCCCGATTCTCCTCCTCCACATTTTCCTCCTCCAGCATTCTCCTCTCCCTCGGCCCTCCCCCGCCGACCCCCCCTTCTCCTCCGTGTCCTCTCGCTTGTTTTCCTCCACTCGTTTTCCGCTTCCTCCTCCTACTCCTCCTCCTCCTTCTCCTCCTCCCCCTGCTTCGCCCACTCCTCCCCACGAGGAGTCAGCGCCAGATGACATGAGTGTGTGAGAGAGAGGGCGAGGAACAAACAAACAAGAATAAGGGGAAGACGGGGGTAGACCACGGTCGAGAAAAGGTGGAGACTCCCATCCCATGTGACCGACCCCCGAATCCCCGAAACAACACATGATGAGACGTACACAAATATGTCCGCCAGCCTCCATCCCGCCGGCTTCCGCTGGCGGATCCGCCGCCGCATGACTTCCCCAGCTCCTGCGAGGGTGAGGAAGCGCCGCAGGCGGAGCTCTTCCTGGAAGGCCCTACGGCCAGTCGGCCCGTAGCATAAGGATGCGCGGCAAGGCTGCAGGGCCTTGGACGCCCATTTCAAAACTTTTCGGGCGGAGCGCGGCCAACGAAAGTGGCCAAGGATGAACCGAGGAGGCAAGGGTGCGAGGGTGCCCTTGGGAAGGCTGCCCATCCTCATTATGCGGGCTGGTTGTACCAAACGAAGAGCTGAAGAACGCACGGAGTGGGCACTTCTGGCCACGGCGAGCCTCGGCCACAAAGAGAGGTCCCCCGACCTGGATCCGAGTAGCGGCCCGGAAGCCGAAGACCCTCCTGCCCCGAAGGGGCCTCGACGGTACGCCAGGGGACGGAAGCGCAGACATTTCAGGCCGCCACCGGGAGAGAGCCGTGGCGAGAGTCCATCCCGCCGCGGGCAGGCAACGCCGCGCTGGGAGCCGAGTTCGCCCCGCAAAGCTTTCGTGCGGGGAGCTGCGGCCCGCTGCGCGGCGGAAGAGAGGGCGCACCCGCCACGGGAGCTAAGAACTAGGGGCGCAGAGCAGGGGCTGGCCCGAGCAGACTGGGAGGGAGGGATTGCCTCCGTGCACGTCACCTCGTCATCCCTTGGCCTTGGGCCGCCTTCGGCTTCGGCGGTCTTCGGCAGTCTTTTGGCGGTCTTCGGCGGCCGTCGGTGGTCTTCGGCGATCTTCGGCGCGAACGCTGGAGGGGTCCCTGATCGAACGCCCAAGCACGGTGAGACGTGGAGGGTGGGGAGGAGCTGGTATGGGAGAAGAAACATCGGCTGGAAAACAGCAGAAGCAGTCGGAACTCCGCGCGGTGTTCGTGGATCGGCGCTGGGCGCCCCTGCCTGGCGCAAGGACCGTGCCAGGGGCGGCACAGGGAGCGCCGCCAAGGGGGTCGAGCGCCGATCCCAGAGATCCGCGGAGAGCTCCGACAATGTATGTCCAGTTTATGTCCGTGCAGCGATGCGCGGATTCCGGATTTGGGACGCACGGATTCTGGAAGGGGGGAGGAGGCGAACTCGGAGCTCCCAGGTCAATGTTTTTATGGTCCTGGGGCCAAAACAAATCTGCCTTGGGAGGCCGAGATCGAGCACGAGCCGACGGATTGAACAATCAAGCCAGCCCGAAGTCGAGGCTCGCTCGATCTTCGAGCTTCGAGCCTCGATTCGGGTTTTGCTAGAAGTGCCCTTGGCCCAAGGTGCCCCCCGGATTTCCAAGGAGGCCCCTCACGGCCTTCAGGGCACACCCCACGAGGCCCAGAGAGCCCCGGAGGCTGCAAAATGGAGCGAACAGCGCGGGGCGCATTGGGCCAGGGGCACCTCTAGCAATCCCCGATCGGTCGACGTGTTGGACGACTGGAATGGGGACGGAGAAAATTGGAACGATGCCCACCAGCGAATGTTGGGAAAAGCTGGCAGCGGCCGCTGTTGAGAAGGCGACTGTTGTCCCAAATGGACAACGCCCAAGACGGAACCGGCAGCGGGCCCTGTGCAAAGTGGGCAAGAACTGCTGCGTACTCGTCCTCATTATTTTCGTCTCTGTGCCGATATGCCTGGGAGGAGGAAACCAAGGATGTCCCCGCTAATCCCGAACTTTTCCCCAGGGCTGGTTTCTCATCCTCATGCAGCCGAAAGCCTGATCAAGAAAAGTATAGAAAAAACATCTGGGCCAACTTGCCGAACTCTTCTCAAACAACGCCTGGCCCAACTTCTGTTGTTAACGCCGGAGGAACGAGCGTTTTCGAGAAGCTGGACCAGCTTGCCGGCATCTTGGTACAAAAGGCGCTGGCCCAACTTTTCGGGAGGAGAATTCTTAACCACATGCTCGACCGTGTAGGCCGTTTCCTGACCAAGCGACCGCGGAATCCTAAAATTAGGTCGGGCCTGTCCCCCGACATGTGGATTTTGGGTGAAACATTGAAATATTAACAAATATCCCCAAATGGTTAAAAAAAAAAAATCGTCACCAGATTAACTTCTGACTATTTTTGAATATCCCTCCTGTAGAGGGACAGGCCCGGCTTAAAGCTAAAAAACGGCGGACGACCTCCGTGCTGAACTTTCCAATGAGCCGGGGGCCTGCCTCTCGGACCGGACCTCCGGCCTCCCGCGTCCACTCCTGACGACTTGCGCACCCCATGAAGGCTCTCGGCGAGGCGCAGCTGCTGGCCAGAATCCCGAGGCAGGAGAACACTAAGCAATCCACGGAGACCTGGGAGGAGGAAAAGGCGGAGAAGGAGGCATCGTGGAGCAGGATCTGCACATCTTTCCCTGCTGAGTGGCCCCGCCGCTCTACGACCCTGCTCCCTTGCCTCGGCGGCTGCCTCTGGTGGACAATGAGTGCGGGCACCCCCCCTCCCTCCTCGTCCCCTCCTCGAGAGAGGGACCGTCTCCGTGTACCCGTCGCGCCCTGGATGACGCGTCAGCGGTTGCGAGCGAGAAGCATCGTGGAGGACGAGGAAGACCCAGGCCCACGACGTCATGATCTGTTCACGGCGTGGACCCCCAGAGGCCTGGACCCCATCCCAGGGACCAGGTTTTCTTCCTGACTAATTGTTTGGCAGTCCCAGAGCTCGGCAAGGGCCCCTGGAAGCCGAAAATTGCAAACATACTCTGGTTGAGACTCTTGCACGATGAGAGGGGGTCAGAGGAAGAGGAGGAGGAGGAAGAGGAGGAGGAGTAGAAGGAGGAGGATGAGGAGGGGGAGTTCAGTTCAGTCCTCCAGAGCCTCAAGACCGAAATTCCGACACTGGAAAATCAACCTTTTGCTCGGGCTGTGGGGCACATCAGACACTGCTGCGCCTCCCCTGTCGTCATGTCGCCTTTCGGCAGCCATTCGGCTGCCTGCGGGAGGTCGGGGGCTGCCAAAGGTGCCCCTGGCCACTGGGGGCCCCGAGCTTGTCGTTCAAACTTGGAGCCCCCTGGGCCAGTGACGGGGTGCACTGGAGGCCGTGGGGGGGCTTCCTTGGAAATCCTGGGGGCACCGTGGGTCAGGGGCACTGCCAGCAGCTAGCAACACCCAAGGAAGACGTGGACGCCCGAAACTAAAAGGGCCCAAGGACACACAACTAAATACTCGCTGCGTTTCCGTCTTTTCCTCCATTTCCTATATTTTCCTGTATTTTCTTGGGGGTCGTCGATTAATGATGTCAGTGTTTTTTTTTACCCTGTTGACAAACCTGTGCGGAAAAGGGAGGTACGACGCCCAACCAAAACCGACAGCGGTCGCTGTTTGGCAGCCAGCCTTTTGTGTCCAATGGGCAACGTTCCGCGGGGACGTCGACAGCGAGCCCTGCGCAGCATGGACAGGAACTGCTCTTAGTCGTTGTACCCATTCTTTCCGTATCCACTTCGATCGTCCCGAGGAGGCAGGCATCGCGGAGGATTGACGGCACGCACAGGGGGGCAGGGGGAGGGGGAACAACTTTTTAGGAGGAGGCTGCTTCTTAGAAGGCGCCGGCCCTACATCCGTAGACACGGCCCGCGCCATCTGAGAAGCAGCCTCGTCCTCAGAAGACTCACCCCATCACCCTAACCCTGAAAGGTCTTTGGACCCCCCCAATAGGGGGTGACTAATATCTTTTCGGCGGAATTAATGAAGGACTGGGGTCCTACCAATAAGGGGTAACTATTTGTTTTTGTCAGCGGCACCCGCAGCGCAACAACAACGATGACAGCTACGACTACGATTGCGACTACGACTACAGGAGGAGGGGGAGGAGGAGGAGGAGGAGGAGGAGGAGGAGGAGGAGGAGGTTTTAGGACCAGTCCTATTCACCGCCGAGAGAAAAGGGGGGGGGACCAAAACTAACGACCCTTAGCGGTTACCCCCCCGGTGCGCGCCGCCAAGAGAAAGACGTCCCGCGGCCCGTGCGGGGAGGCCCCGGGCCAGCCGTGCGCGGAACGGCCGCGTCTCAGAAGCCGGGCAGCCCGTCCTCGCGGCCTGGGCCGCCCCCTCCCCCACCGACCCCTGTGTGCGGCCCGCCGTAGCGGCGCCGCGCCGTCCACCTCACTCCTCCTCCCTACTCAATGTGCTCCTCCTCCTCCTCGGCCTCCTCCTCCTCCTCCTCCTCGTTCTCGTCCTCGTCGCTCTCTTCCTCGTCCTCCTCGTCCTCGTCCTCGTCTTCGTCCTTGTCCTCCTCCTCATTCTCCTCCTCCTCCTCCTCCTTCTCCTCCTCCTCCTCTTCCTCAATCCCTATTCCCTCTGCCTTCGGGAGCTCTTGCGTCGCGTGTCGCGGCGGCGGCCCTAGCGACATGCCGTGCCTTCCAAGTTCCAAGCTGATAGCGTGTCGCTCCGCTCCGCGTGGCGGAAGGCCAGGTAAGGCTCGCGACGTTGACGCTTGGGAATTGGGCAATGAGTAGCGCGTGGCGCCGCAGCGCGATGGGCCAGAACAACAAAAATGCGACGCGCTAGCCAAAAGGTCGCGACCGTAAATAACCCCTCCACCTCGCATCACCAGACGTGTCGTTAGGGCGGGCCCTGGCGTTCCTCGAGGCTTCCCCACCGTAAGAGATCTTGAAACTCGAAATTTCGAATAACAGCACGGACGCAAGGCCGGGCCCCCAAGAGCCCCCCAAGAGGCCCCCAAGAGCCCAATACGCCGCCAAGGAGTCCCAGGACGCTCCCAAGAAGCCCCCAAGAAGCCCCCAAGACGGCCCCAAGAGGCCCCAAATAGCGCTCCAGGGCCGGCGGAATGAACGAAGCGTTTATTAACAACACGGACGCAAGGCCGGGTCGTCTTCAAAATGCAGCTCCGGCATCAGCGCCGCGAACAGTCGCTTTCAACATCGTTCAACACTCACAAAGATGGATGGTGAGTGCTTTTCGAAATGTCGCTATCGCCTGAGCGCCGCGCACATTCACCACACACTTCCCACGAGCAAGCTACAAAGATAGAGGCCAGCTCTTTTTGAACAGGC